TCATCATCATCATCATCATCATCATCATCATCATCATCATCATCATCCACTGGCCCTAGTCATATAGACACCCAAATAGATTGAAGTTCCTAGATCCCCACGTTCGTTTCATATCTTGGACACCCTAATCTCACGATCTATTTGGGGACCACTAGGTCAGGAGCACATACGGAGTGTTTGGGACTTACCGACTTGAGGCTCCGCGGCTGGTGAGAAGCTTGCATGGCCACTGGGGCTGGGTCTGGTGTGCCCAGTGGAGAATGGGGCAGCTGGGGCACTGTAGGCAGTCCAAAGCAGGCACTGATCAGCAGGTGGTCACTCGATGGTGGTCACATGTGGTCACAATGCAGTCCGCAGAGTCTATTGTTTAGCATCTGAGATGGCCAGCCATGTTTTTGCAAAGCTCTCATCAGCACCACCCTTCAGAGTAAGAAGGGTACTATCAATGATCCGGCATCCGGGATGTGCAAGTGCATCTGTGCACTTAATGCATCCAGCTGTTTACTATGCTTTTCGCTTTTCGCCACTCGCCACGTCCGATGTGACCCGACGCCGTTGGCGGATGGGTCCGATGGTCCGACCAGCGAGGTCAACACGGCCTACTTCAGTCCGGATGGCACCTTTGTGCTCTCCGCGGCTGCGGACAAAACGGCCAAGCTTTGGTGTTCCCACACAGGTGCGCCACAGGGTGCCCATGGGTGCCCTTTGGCGAGTCGGAGGACATGTTTTTTGATTCTGACTCAGAGGTTTGCTGCTGCATTTGGTGCGGCAAAGTTGGCATGACTTCCATGTATTCGAATTCTTCAGGTGGTGACCTGTAAACCCAGATTGAGGCCACCAACTGCCTGCAAATAGCAAGGCTTGCAAACTCCAAGACCTCCATGTCGCTCGTGAAAATGGAAGCACCAAGACACCTCAATTCCGCGAGTCCAACCCTTGGGAGCCACGGTGCTCGGAATCGGTCACCCACTGCCCCAACCAACGGCTGCCATCGGATCCTGCACCTCGTCTCGTGAAACGAGCAGGCGAATGCGTTCAGACCTTTCAGGGACACTATGCTTACGTCCGCTCCGCGGTGTTCTCTTTCTCACCCAGGCGGCGTGCGTTGTCCGCGCGCGCGCGTTACGGCGGAGGTGTCGGGGAGGTTTTCGGCCGTTTCGCCGGTGGAACTTTTCAGGCGAAGTGGCGAACAGGGACATTTCCTTTGGAGGTTTAAAAGGAAGAGGTATCGAATGAGGAAGGGCGACATCATGAAGGGCAATATGACATCCATAATCCTCCATATAAGCAACAATTATTTGTTGTGTATGTGGAAAGTCTCCAGTGACAGTTCGGTTGCTTTCATTTACATCCCTGGCCCGAATTCCTCCCAAAAAGGCCAGACTGAGAAGGATGGAGGTTTGTTTTGTTTGCTAAATACAGCGCTCTTCATCAACTGTTTTTAGATGTTTGCTTTGGACCGCTGAATTCCCCATAGAAGAGTAATATTGAGTGATGCTGTGTATGTTACAATATTTTACCTATATACCTAAGACACCCGGGTATGCAAATTGTTTGTTGTTTTCTTGTAAAACTTAACTAATTTCTGTCGCTTGATGTAGTTTTGGTCGTTTCCTGGAAAAACTGCTGCTTCATGGGTTTGCCTGCCACTTTGGACCTTCAGTAGTGCAACAAAACAGTGCGCAAATAACTTGCGTTGCTTCGGTGCAGTTTTGCGTCGTTTTGCGCTGTTTCGTTTCTTGTTTTTGGGGGGCGAAGTGTCACTGTTGGTCAATTCCCCCATTCTATCAATCCAAAAAGTGCTGCACTACAGAAATGTCCGCCGACTGCCCCAAGAACCACGTTGTGCTTGAAAAACAAAACACATACATACAAATGAAGATGTAGGAATACCGTATACCGTATACCTGTTAAAACCACACAAATTCTCTATAGGGCCTTGCTAAAAGATTGTTCTCTCTCACACCGATACTGTAGTATGAATTTTAATGTTATACGGTCAGCCCCTTTTTTTCCGTGATTTCACACATCTGAATATGAACTTATTGTTCCACTTAGTAGCCTCTACGAAGCAGCATCTAGACTCAGCAGCCAGTGTACTAGCTATATAGCTGATTTCGCCCCACCCGGTCGGACCCGGACGGACGACGGACGCGAGTCCGACGGTGGGGTTGTTCAGGTGGATCCTCACGGCCTCGGCCGATTGGACGGCGAAGCTTTGGAGCCGATCCAATGGGAGCTGCGTCCAGACGTGACCGCACCGAGCAGTCGTGACGATGTGACGCTATTCTGAAGGAAGGAGAGGTTTTCTACAAGAAACTGGGATAGGTCGGAGATGTTTTGGAGCTTCAATGAGCTAAGTATATGCTATACTCTCATATACTTGGGGTGACAAACGGAATCTTGGAAAGAACAAACTGCTGTGCAGGACCTTTAGTCAAACAAGGCTTTCTTCCCGATTCAACCCATGAAATCTCAATGGTAGGCCAGGAATCCTATTGAGATCTATTGAGGAATGGCCACCAGCACCTTCAATTTGTGACCTCAAACTGGTGTCTGTTTGAGAGCTTGTACAAGCGTGTACAAGCTTTTATTGTGTTTGACCGAAAAGCCTCCGATCTCAAGGTTGGTCACTTTGAAGGTACTGGTATTTACCAGAGATTGCTTCTTCAGAAATGTGTTCACCCCGAAGGCTTTTGCACATCACTCCTTGCATCACTGCGAGGTACCAAGGCCATTCGCAATGGGTCAACATGGCCAACTTTGTTTCGTCGTCGGAGGAGAAGATCGTCACCTGCTCCAGAGATCCTCGGCTCAAAGAGATGGGTGCCGTGACTATGGCGTTACGAAGAAGGTAGCTGTGACTTGGTTCTTCAGAAGAGAGTTGCATATAGCTTGCAGAATCACAAACTGATACTGTTCACAGATCAACCACGCTGTTGAAGGATTCGGCCCAGTGATATTGTCATTGAAGGCTTGAAGGAGGGCTGGAGAATTAGGTGATTTGTATTATGCAGATGGTTCAAAATGTTCAAACGAATTGACCCAACTTTTGCACCAATCGCGTGGGTGTCTTTTCGATTCTGAATCCTTTTCCAGCGCGTCTGAGGACTGTACAGCACGCCTTTGGGCCATCGGTGGTGAATGCTTGAGGGTCTTTGAGGGCCACAGCGACTTCGTCATGGTCAGCTTGATTTTAGGCCGCGCTGAAAGCGCGCGCGCTGCCTCAGTCAGGGGCAGATCGGTGACTGTGTTTACCTTTTTTAAGTGGTGATGGACCAGCTTTTTTGCATCCTTTCAGTATCAGTTCTATTTTGTGGAAAGACCTATCCTTGAACCTCCAATGCAAAGAGATTTCGCGTCGTTTGTTGAAATCAATCGTTTGACAAAACAAACTTGTCATTCTTGTCGATTCGATAAAAAACCTAGCGTTTCGTAAACAGAGAGAAAACAACTGGAACGACAAGGAAATGGGATTTGCGGGCGTTTGCGGGTATTTGCTAGCGTTTGAAAGATATTTGCGGGCGTTTTGCGGGTAATTCTTGTCGAGCGTCCCATCTTAACCTTTGGCAGTCAGGACACCAAAACTGAAGTAAATTATGAGAATCCAGGAAACTATGTCGTTCTTAGCGATTGTAGCTTTTTGCTGGCAAATGTAGTCAAAAACAAAAACAACAAGAAAATTCTTGTCGTTGGAGGGTCCAGGATACCTGGACCTATACCTTTTTCATCCTTTTTCTGGTGCACATCTTTTTTGGTGAAGTGCACGATCACCTCCGCGGCACATCTTCTGACCTATTGCGACACATCTTCTGAGAGGGCTGGGTCCCGAGCGCAGCTAGGTCCCTGACGTGACGCCTGGTTTCTTTCACTGGAAAACACACCTAGCCAGGCTCCCTGAGGTCTATGATCCGTTCACACTAAGAGTGGCACATTGAGGGCGGTTTTTATTTATAAAAATCAAGTTGGTCCATCATGGCCACGTTGGTCCAGCACGTTGACCTAAGCCTAGGCACTCCACTGATCTCGAATCAAACGGCCTCCAGGGGGTCAGAAGTGCGTTGCCCAGCTCGAACACGAATCCTCCAGGCGCACCTGCCAAGGCGAGGCACGACGAACGCGAAGCGGAACTCGTGGTTCAGATCAGGCGACCTGACCCAACCAGAAACATATGGCTGCGGGTCAAATCATGCGTACTTCCACGTGAACAACAACGTTGAAATGCCTTACTGGGACAGACCTAGGTTGGCTGGGATTGGCGAACTGTACAATTACAGTGATCGCGATAGACATTCTGGATCATGGTGGTTCAGTTCAACCGAATGTCAGCGACATGCATCAAGAACATGAGACATCACTTTCTAAGCTGTTCAAAGTGCTTGGAGTTCCCATCTTTCTATACACAAGGGACAATGACATGAAAGTGTCTTCAAACTACGATGTTTTGAGTGCTTCCAGTCCGCTGCCCAATGCAGCTGCTGGAGCGCCAGGGCAACCAGTGGTTGCTTTGATGCCAGCCATTGCGATCACCAGGAAGTTTGTCAGTGCTGAATCAGAACGTCGATGGCCATAAGGACAATCCTACCAGCTTCAGTGAGGCATCAAAATCTTTGGTATCTAGGGTCGTCGGCAGTACGATCCAAATGCCACTGGAAATCCTGCCTACTTACGTGGTGGAAGGGCAACCTGGCGGATGGTCAGGGACTTCGCAGCACTGCAGAGTCCTGCTTTGCAAGTGGAAGGGGACGGAGAGCGTGTGGCAAAATGGCGCAAACGTTTTGGACAGCATTGGCACCGTTGTCATTGCACCCAGTGACGCGAAGTGCACATTGATCCCACCACTTGATTCCAAGTCGGCAGCAGCTTTGGCCTTCGCTGCACCTGCTTCCTGCGCTCTGACTGCTGCTGCCTTCTCTGTCTCTGCCTTCTTGTCGGAGGCGGCTGCTTTCAGCTTCTTGTGGAATCGGCTCAGCACGTCGTTCACCGCTTGGCTTCCATGGCGCTCAACCACGGCTGCAAATAGAGCCCTATTTGTTGCTCACAATGCAGCAGATGGTTACCGAGTTGCAGGAGCTCCTACTAACATAGGAGAAAATTGGAGCACCTGACATGTTTCATGACCTGTTTCTTCAGACATTATTGTCGCACAACTATGCATGATCGTCTTGATGCACAAGCGCAAAGAAATCACCCCTCCAGGCAGGACATAAACTATATCACGTGCAGTCCTATGTTGCTTATATAGAGATTTTGGCCCCTAAAGATCCTGCTCAACAAATCCACATTTATGCAGACAGCATGCATGTCTACCTTTTGATACCTTTTGGTCCTCGCTGTCCATGAACCTGGCTGCAGAAACCCATATCGACTTAGTTCGACTAGTCGCGCCTGGAATTGAGAACGATTCCACTCCAAGGCCACCTCTTGGGACGACCTACCTTCGTAACAGAGGTCATCACCTTGCGGGTCCACGCTGCCTTCGCCATTCACACCCATTCGCCAGAGCATGCACACGACATGAACCATCTGCCCACATTCGCAGTTTGGCAGTACCTTCTTGATTGCAACCAAGCAGAAGTACGTAAAGAAAGTCCCAGACAACGAGTCCTCAGGCCCGGGAGGGTCGCGTCTTTCTAAAGCCTTGCGAATGCGGAACTCCCAGCTATGTCACAACCTGGCACACCTTCGCGGGGGCAAAACGTAGCTCAAGCAGAAACACTACGATAACTTCAATTCCCAACTACACAAAACAGCATTGTAAAAGGTTAGTTATTAGATGTTATTAGCACGTAGGCTTCGGAGTCAAGCATTCGTCAGGCATAGCATGTCGTTCCCTCCTTCCTATTGCTGACATAACAATGCAGACACTAATTACAAGCCAAGGAAAGCCAATGTAGTCATCACAGCGTTCACTTCATAGCGCACCAATCTTTCGCCTTTTACTAAAGGTTGCCGTGAATGGGACGCATCAAACGTACATTGTTGTACCATACACCCGCTTCATATCCCAATACAAGCCATGTGTGTGTGCGCACTTTGATCGAGTACTCTAATTTCCACAGAGAGAGAGACAGAGAGAGCAACCCCAAGAGATAGAAAGATATACCTAGATCTTCAGTCCGGCACTTTTACAGGGTCCGGCGCCGGACTTCCAACTCCGGCGTTTTTCTGGATTTGGTCCGGCACTTCTTCCAAGTCACTTTATGTGGATTCTCAAGGCTTTGCATTCTTTGTGGTTTGATGTGGTTTGCATTTCTTTGCATTGAAGGTAAGCCCACTACTGATGCAATGATGTTGTTTGCAAAGTGTGCTCGTTTGCCTGTCCGCTGTTTTCTCATTCCACCGGTTTCAGCATGGTTCACACTGGATCAATCAGATCCGTTTAGGTGATCTTCTAAATGAAATCGGATGAAGCCGGTACTGTGCGATGCACGTGTTGAAAGATCCAAGTGGGTGTACCTAAGCTGAAAGAACATAGGCAAACATGTACTCCCATTGTTTCAGGATGTCGGGGCGCTGGGATATAGTTCTAGCTGCGCAGGTTTGCAAAGCCTGCCGGACAAGTTTTGGGATGTGTTGTTCAGAATTTCAATGTTTTGCAGAGAGTTGCCAAAAAATGGCGCGCGTCGTAACTCCGGCGAAATTTCCCGTAACTCCGGCGTAATTTCCCGTAAATCCGGCGTAATTGTTTGGACTGAGTCTTCTGCAGGCTTCGACTTTGAAAAGTTGTTTCAACTAAGAGTTTTTGACAGGAACCATGAGTTCTGCTACTTTATTGGGGGGGGCGGTCCTGAGGCAAGCTTTAAAGAAACATGGAGAGCAACCCGCTTTGTATAGAGACACGGTTGCAGAGAAAGAGGGGCTCCTTGCCACATACTCTTTGGTTTCTTCTTGGCAGTCTTTGCTTGGGCACAAGGCACAAGTTGCCTATATTTTGTGATGGTTCTGCTCTTAGGCCATTCGGAAGATGGGCGAGGGCAATGGGAACGGGAAGGCCCCAGTGCTGGGCTGTGGAATGAGTGCGCTCCAGAAAAACTATTCGCGGCGCAAAGGCAGTTTCCTTGTGTATGATCCAACCTTTTATCATCTATATATGTTTTTCAGAATCTTGGATCCGGATGTTTTTTCGGTCTCCGGCGTTTTTTTCGGAATCCGGCGGAAAATTTTGCCGGATTGAGGTTCGGCACTTTTTTCCGCCCAAAGGAGGATACAGGTATGTGTGCAAAACATCATCTTCAGAACATCCTGCCAAGTGGCACACATACACGTGGTGTTCAGATCTTAGTGTCTTCCCACTGTGTCCCTAGATGTTAAGAGGCACACGCACAAACATATGATGCCCAACATGTTTGTAGTTTTCAGGTGAGCCACATTTTTTTTGCAAATGATTACAGTAATACAACAAGGGAACTGTTGAGAAGTTGCGGAGGCTGTTCTGCTTGGGGCGC